TTAAGTTTGGCCATCTCTTTGTCCTTTTAATTTTAGTTCTTAAACTCATCAATCAATCCTTTCATTTATGTGATAGACCTATATTTAAAATGAACATTTACCATAAATTAAAAGTATCTTATATTATTAGATATGTTAGTATAAAACATGCTTCAGTTAAGGTGTTATTAATACTTCAAAAGCAAAATGATGATATAAAACCTTGATAAAAATATACTTTTAAGTACTAATCACTTAGCCTTTAAATTTTTACATTCAAATGAATATTGAAGCCTTATGTACCCATTTTTTATAGGTTTTTTGCTTGACTTAAACTCAAAAAGGATTTAAGGTTATGTTAGTTTTTAATCACATAAGAATAGGAGAGAACAAGAGAGAGAGAGAGATAAAAGAGCGACTAAAACACATATTAGAGGAAAAAAATAATTTAGGTTATTTTTTAGATGATTTAAATATGACTGAATTGTTTTAATTTGATTTGGTTCAATTGGTTTTAGTCTTTTAAAACTGAAATCGAACTAAATTGATTGATTTTTCTATTTTTAATTAATTTCTTTAATTTTTTTCTTGATTTGTTTTTATTTCTTAGTTTAATCAATTGGCAAATTTTTTTTTAAAAACCCTTAAACATCATCAGCAACACATTGTAACATGACTTACACTACTTTTACAAGTATCCTTATCATTTACTTTTTGGTCATAAGCTTTAAATATTATTGTTTACTTTATTAATTACATATCAACTCCAATTTTACATTTCAAATATTTTTTCAATGTTATTTTGATTTTGTCTTAGCTATAATTTACTTAAAGTTTTTAGTTGCTTGTGTTTTCTCTACCTCTGATCATACTATCATTATAAAATGATTTTTCTCTCCTTGTATATGTGTTGATATGACTACTGAAATTCTCACTTTAGACTCTAATGATATTTGATCTCTAATACCATATGATCTAACTATGAATATGGTAGGTTATATCAAAGATTAAACACATGATAAATAGGAATCTTAAGCATTATAAAATATGATTGTCAGCCAAAGGCTATCATTAATAAGAAATGGTTGATTTTTAGAAGAGATTTAGTCCAATTGTGAAGCCCTGCACTATTTAAATAGTGTTTTGTATTGGTGTTACTCATGGTTGGTGGATATATCAACTTGATGTGTATAACACTTTTCTTAATGTATTTCTTAATATAAATATGTTTATGAATTAACCTTTTAACTTCGTTGATCCATAGTTCACAAACTATGATAGAAAACTGAAATGTTCCTTTTATGGTCTAAAATCAATAATCTATTTGATCAATTTAGTCATTTCTTGGTTCTTTATGACTTCACATCTCTAATGTTGATACTTCCTTGTTCATTCTTCATTCTACTAAAGCTACATTATTAATTTTTTGTTTATGTTGGTGATATTTTATTGACTGGTGCTAATTATCTTTCCCATAACATCTCATTACACATCTTATTACCTTTTTGGTATTAAAGTTTCTTATGCTATATATGATTTCTTTTTTCACATCAACGATATATTTCTAATCTTCTTCAAAAGGTTGACATGTTTAAGTTTATTGCTACTATTATTATTGTAATTTATCAATTGTCCAAGTTAACTAACACTTCTCATCGGGTCCAACATAATTTAAATTGTTAGTAGGCGTGTAATGATACGATCAAAAGATTGATATTTTCTTCCAAGTGTAGAAGTGTTAAAGTAATAAATAACCTGGCAAGACCGGAATCGAATCACAAGAAGGTTAATTATATAAACAACAACAACAGCAACAACAACAACAATTATAATAATAATATTAGTAGTAGTAGTAGTAGTAATAATAATAATAATAAAGAGAGTTTTGAGATGTGATATTGATATAAGGATTAAACAATGATTTAGGCCTATTTATTAGCTTTCCATCCATATAGAGCAAACCCAAATCCAAGATCTACAGCTCTAGATATGATCCAATGACCGAACAATCTTTCATTTTAGGTTGATCTTTCATTTTGGGTTGAACCAGCATCTCTTTTTTAAGTTTGACCCTCTCTTTGTCTTCTCAATTTTAATACTTAAACTCATCGATCAATCCCTTCATTTATGTAATAGGCTAGTATTTAAGATGAACATTTACCATAAATTAAAGGTGTCTTATAGTGTCAGACTTGTTATTATAAAACATGCTTTAATTAAGGAGTTATTGATACTTCAAGTGCAAAATAATGATATAAAACCTTGATAAAAATATACTTTGAAGTATTAATCATCTCATTACACATTTTATTACTTTTTTAGTATTAAAGTTTCTCATGCTATATATGTTTGCTTTTTTCACAACAATGATACATTTCTAATCTTCTTCAAAAGGTTGACATGTTTGAGTTTATTACTACTTTTATTATTATATGTTATCTATTATCCAAGTTAACTAACACTTGTCATCGGGTCTTACACAGTTTAAATTGTTAGTAGGTGTGTAACACCTCATCCCACTAGAAAGATATTGTTCGCTTTGGCTCATAGACCTCATAGATTTGTTCTTAACAACCACGTGTGATCCCAAAACACGTCTTACTAGTTATGGTAAGCATACTCATATAAGGCCTTCCCTTAAGTCCTCACCTGTTTGTATGGGATATTGGGACCTTATGATGATGAGTTGATTAAGTAAATTGATAGTAGTTAATAACTTGAGATGTCTTAAATACAAACAAAAATCTCCCAAAATTTTGGTAGAATTCTTTACAAAAAAAAATAAAAAAATCACCCTCACATTAAGAGCATATGTTGAGATCTTTTAGTGTTGATTAAATTATACAATCAGGTTCGTTACAGGGTGCTCTTTAGTATTTCATGTTCCCATGACCTAATATTTGTTTTGTTATTCCTATTATTGTAAGTTGTTCATTGTCTTAAGTCAACTAGCACTCCTCATATGAATCTTACATAATTTAAAAGAGTTAGTAGAAGCTCTTTAGTATTTCCAATTCATATGACCCAATATTTTTTTGTGTGGTTAACAAGGTATGGCAATTCATACATTCTTCCATTATTGTATATTGGTTGGTAATTAATCACATCTTATGCTATCTACATGATACTTTATCCCAAATGTTGCACTTGATTCATCATAGTGATCTCTCTCATTGAGTTTAATGATTATGGACCTTGTTTTTCTATAAAGATAAGAAAGAAACTATTGCTAATGTTGTTATTAAGCTACAATGTGTCAAGTCTCTACTTCATGAACTTGGTATTTTAGGTACATTCTCTTCCTTCTTTTTTTTTTTGTCTATTGGGTGACAATTTAAAAGCTATTTATTTAATTGTAAAATCAATTCTCATACTCGCATGAAACATATGGAGATTGATTTTCACTTCATTTGAGAACTTGGTTGCTCGCAAAGAATCCAAGTTTAATTTATTGCTTTCTTTATTTAAGTTGTATATATATTTGCTAAACATTTATTATCATTCATGGTTTACATTTCTTCAATCCAAGTTGAATGTAATGTCTTCTCCCCATTCAAATTATGAGGGGGTATCGAAGAATTATGATTAACTATAGCTCTAGCCTAATTATCTTTATATTATCAATACTTATTTATTATATTAGTATCCATTTTACAAAGCTTATTAAAATTATATATATACACACACAATAAAAAATAATATACAATAGTATTTAAGAATTACAATCCTTCTTCTGGAACCTATTTTCTTTCTTCTTCTATAGGCCATGACAACCAAACAAACATGGATACGGGGAGAGATATTTTACCTTTAGGCTATGTTTATTTTTTGGAATTCATTTTTCAAGAAACTACTTTCCAAACTTTTCTGTGTTTATTTGCCATTAAAAAAATTGATCAATGTAAACACTTTCCAATCAAAGAAAAATTTAGTTTGGTTTTCAGAAAAGTGTTTTGGTTCAAATTTTGTGAAAAAAATTAAAAATGTCATGTTATTTAGTGATTATATCAAATTTGATTGTCAAACTTTTGATTGCTATATATATTTTGTTTTGAATATTTATTTTTCAATTTCATTTCTTAAAATTTAATTTTTATATTAACTTTGGTCCTCATTTTTATAATTATTATTTTATTTTTGCCTATTATTTTTTTATTGAAATTTTTTATGTATTAAATTTGGTACTCATTCTTTTGATTCTTACTTATTTTATTTGAAATAATTTATAAAATGTTAATTATTATTATTTTAATTTCTTTATCTTTTATTTTTTTTAGATTTGATCTCTATTATTTTGATTATTATTTATTTTATTTGGGATAATTTATGAAATTATATTTTTTTCAATTTCATTCTCGTTCAACTTTTTAATTTGTAAGATTTGGTACTTATTATTTTAATAAACTTGAGAAAAATAAAATATTAATAAGTTAATTTTTAGTTCATTTTCTATAACATAACCAAACATTGAAAAGTATTTTCTAGTTTATTTTTTAAAATACTATCAAATATTAAAAAAAAATTATTTAAAAAAAAATTATTTTTCCTGAAATTTATTTTAAAAAAAAACAACTTCCCTACTAATAAATGAAGCCTAGGATAGATTTATATTCTGATTTATGACCGAATCCTCATTTGATATGACATAACCACGGACCATTTAGGCTTCCCAAACCAATGGTTGCTAGTTTGTTAGCAATAGCTTGTGCATTACTGGTGATGTGACTCTTAAAACCTGATTTTAAAGCTTTTTAACTTGTTTGCTATCTTGATCTTCAAAACCATCCCAGCAGGTGTCTTCATATGTGAGTGCAACACTCAACAATCTAGTTGGGTCCTCCAATCTGTGTATGCCAAGTGATTTGTGAAGATCGTCAATCGCACACTGGAAGCACTCGATACAATCTAAAAGGGCAATCTTGTTTCTGCCTCCCATGATCCTATTTTTCTTCAATTTATTCAGATAATGACTAGAATTCTTAGCCTCGCCTATTTTCACCGAAACCCCAGCTCAGCCTAATTGCTGGGACTTCTCTTAGCAGAGTGTGAAAAAGATGCCAGTGAGTGGATGCAAAGGTTGTGATATCTAGTCCCACTACATGCTTCTCGAACTCAGGTGTCCCCGTTGTTGGAATCCCAGCCCTTAGCACTTGTTAGCCATGAAAGGAACAAGAAATCAATGAGAAAAGAAAGTTCTCGTTCTATGATATCTATGGCGCTTTCAAAAGAAGAAAAAGATAAAGGTCTGCGATTGAAAATCGAGAAAAGCACCTCGTACCATGATCTCTCATATTTTAAAAGTACACAGTAAAAGAGCAGGAGAGAGACGTTACAATGTTCCTCGCGAATGCAAAGTTGTGAAGGTAACAGCATTGAGGGAAAGCTTTAAAGAGGGACAAGGGGTGAGTTCTATTAAGATGGGAGCTTTTTAAAGGGGGTTCGATAGAAAAGAAAGAGGCTGGTGAATGCACCAACAAGGGGAGAGCAGGGGAGTAAGCTGAGTTTAGATATTTAGGTTTGGATGACCACGATGTTTTTTGGCATTGTAGTTACGTGTGAGGTTGAGGGTCAGCATAAATATTAATGTTTGATCAAGTTGAAACTTTATTTTGTTTAGGTGAGACCCAGTATAAATTGTGTCTAAACCTTAAGTTTATTTATTAAAAGCACAAAAATCATGCTTTGCAAGTAGCTCAACCTTAGTTTTTCTTCCATTATCCACTGACAACAAATAACAAGTTAAAGACAAACTTCTCATTTCCTCCCCGATTCCTTTAAAAAATCAAAGCAAAAATACTAACAATGAAATAGTTTGTTAGTTGGTCAGACTCGTCTCATCTCTCTGAAAAAAATTTCAAAATCTATCTCCTCCGACCATCTTCTCTCCTCTACTCTCAAAACTAATTTTTCTTTTTTGTTTTCTCAATACATGTTTTCATATTTTTGATTTGTTGAAAAAGATATATTTTTTTCATGATCAAAAATATGAAAACATGTATTGAGAAAAAAAAAAGGGAAATTAGTTTTGAGAGTAGAGGAGAGAAGATGGTCGGAGGAGATAGATTTTGAAATTTTTTTTAGAGAGATGAGACGAGTCTGACCAACTAACAAACTACTTCATTGTTAGTATTTTTGTTCTGATTTTTTAAAGGAATCGGGGAGGAAATGAGAAGTTTGTCTTTAACTTGTTATTTTTTGTCAGTGGATAATGGAAGAAAAACTAAGGTTGAGCTACTTGCAAAGCATGATTTTTGTGCTTTTAATAAATAAACCTAAGGTTCAGACACAATTTATATTAGGTCTCACCCAAACAAAACAAAGTTTCAACTTAATCAAACATTCATATTTATGGCTGACCCTTAACCTTACACGTAACTACAATGCCAAAAAACCTCGTGGTCATCCAAACCTAAATATCTAAACTCAGCTTACTTCCTTGCTCTCCCTTTGTTGGTGCATTCACTCAGCTTTCAAAAAACATGTTTTCAAAACTAATCATGTAGATTTGTTGAAAAAGATATATTTTTTTCTCATTTTTTATGTTGCTTTCATCATGAATAATTTTTTTTTCCTCTGAACTTCTTCAAAATTAATACATGATTTGACATATCCTTGTGTTATAGGTTCCAAAATAAAAATCACTTATGTGACAATAATTTTTGCTTTTTAGGTAGTCTTTTATGGTTCCCGGGATCTAGAGAAGAAATATTTATTGCTCCCTGGGTTATGCGCCTTCCACTGTCACCAAAGGTTTACTTAAATATGCAATTTTTGCTAAACAATACTATCAATCCTAGGCCAACACTGAGTTTGATATGTAGTTCATATAAAATCTAGAGTGAGTTAGGATAAAAAATTTCATCCAGTATTCAACTCGTTAATAACAAGTTTTTCTTTAATATACACCGCTTCCTTCAACCATTTCAATGTTGGAATGTGTAACAAATCTACAATTTTTTTATTAGAAGGTATCAAACAGCTTTGTGGAGCTTATTTCAACTCCACTATCATAAATGACTGCTTGTTTGTTTATTTTTTCTCACAATTATATATTTATTGTTGATGAATTTATGTGCAAATCTGTGTAGGTTTTGAAGCATAAAAACAAGGAAATCCTAAAAATTTATTCAAGAACAAAAAAGAAAAGACGTTATAAAATTGAGTATGTGTTTTTGTTTTTTACAATTATAAAACTACTTACCTGTTTGTTGGTGCTAGAATAGAACTTTGTGTGTTGTGTATTGTTTTTGTTTATAATATTATGAACATATGGTGTTGTGAGTTATGTTAATTAACCACAACCATTACTGGGTTTGTATGTTGAAACGAAAAGAAAACTATTAGTAGTTGTTGAAATTACCCATTTGCATTTCTAGGTCATCTGTATTTGTGGCTCAACAATACTGTAAACTTTGTTAATTGTTCTTATTAACAATATGTTAATTCTGATTCTATTGTTGCTTTTTTATGCCAAAATTGTTTGTGTCATTTTAATTCTTTTAGGATTTTATGCTATAAAATGCTTTAATCACTAGTTTCTTTTGAGATTTGAGAATTTGCAATGAGATTTTATTAGCATTTTTTCATACATTTTCTTAGCGTGACATATAATGAGCAATTGGTGTGAGTCAAGTTGTTCAATGTTCCATTCACGGCAAACTCCTATTTTCAGAGCTGCATTTTTTATTGGTTGTCTTGTGTGTGTTGGTTATGTTCAAAATCTTAGAAACCTCCCCCTATCTCAAATCTACCATCTCATCTTATACATATCTTTTCTACCCCTAGTGAATACACACACTCTACACCCATTAATATTTTTCCAAGAAAAAAAATGATTAGAATTTTTCTTTGTCTTATCTTTCTTAGTTTTTAGTTTGTTGGGTATTGAACAACAATGTTTAGTTGATGATAATATGTTATGGCTCATGGTAATTCAAAAATCAACTTTGATGTTTTGTACAAGTTTATAAACATAAAATATAAACAAGAAATATTAGGGGCATGGAAAGTATAAGGCATTTAGCTACTATTAAAGTTGATTTTCCCTTTAAGAATCATGTTAAACTCAAACAAAATAAATAAAGAAGAAAAATTTCATTTGTAAAAACCAAGGATAATTAGTATGTTCTAAGGTCTATTGTTTTTTAGTCATGGAAATCAAAATTTCAATGTAGACTGTTATTAGAATGCAAGTCTTTTTCATTTCATTTCATTTTTGCTTACTCTATTGATTGTTTTAATACTTATATGTTGACTATACTTCCATCAAATATTAGTTAAATTCTAAGCATGTTATAACTCATTATATTTGCTTCAAAATACATCATCAAACTAGGAATGGAAAGTCCTAAAAATATGGATAAAGCAACATAGATTAAATAAATGTTGCATGCCTTTTATGACCTTTACTTAAAGGTTATTGACATGAGAATGAGACCAAATACTCATTCGACAAAGGTGGTTGGAAATATTTGTTGGCATTCTTAAAAGAGCAGACTAGTCGTGCATTCACCAAGGCACAACTAAAGAACAACTAGGATGGTTGTAAAAAGAATTGGAGGATGTGGACGAACTGATTTATGAAACTAGTGTGAGTTGTAGTACTAAAGTAGAAATAATTTCTGCTAGTGATGAGTGGTGGAAATAAAAAAATTCAAGTTATTTGTCATGATCCTTAATCTTTAATTTGCTTAAAACTTAGTTCAGTTATTAATATAGGCAAAATTGCATGGAATGATTTTGTTTGTTTTGTGTAAGAAATAAGAGGAGCAAAAATCTTTAGGCACTCTAGTAACAAACCATCTTTGTGTATGAAATTCGATAGAATCTTCTCAAACATTGTTGCTATCGGTGAGTATGCGTAAGCACCATCATCTAGAGTGTTACCTCATGATAATATCGATGCTGATAACAATCAACATTGCAATGTTGAATAACCTGATTTGGAAGAAATAAGCAGTGATTTGGAAGATGATGAAATTCCAAATTTAACTGATGATCTTTGCAACATGGTTAGAGGGACTAATATGTCCAGCAATAGCAACACCCGCAGTAGTAATAAGAGAAAAGAAATAAAACTTTTTGAGGTTTAAACTGAAAAAAAAAAAAGAATTATGGAATTGGATTACAACTATTATCATGATAGGATCAAATGGTTGACAGTGTGTCAAGCAATAATGATTCAACATCTATCAATAAAGATAGGAAATGTAGTATTCCTAAGGTTATGGTCGAGCTTCACTCAATTGAAGGAGTTAATATTGGTGATGATTTTTATAGTTTTGCTACTGAGTTTTTAGGTTTTAGAAGGAATAGAGAAACGTGGTCAACTATAAGTAATCTTGAAAACAAAATAAAATAGTTGTAGAGAATGTATACATGGCGTAAAACACCTTAGACAACATCTATAATTAGTTAGGTTATGGAGCATTAATATTTATTATGTTCACATTATAGATTGTATAATAACATAGTTACAAGTTGTAGTGTTATTTGATAATTACTGAGTATTATAAATTGTGATATAAAAAAATAATATTTAATAATAATGACATAAGTTGATAATAAGGACAATACTTTTAGTTTTTACAGAAAAAAATATGCTTTTAAATGCTACTAGTTATTGATACAAACAAAGGGTGTTGTTTTATCTAACAACAAATTTCATTTATAAATTCAACTGCTTAAGAAATCCAATTATAAGAAATTATGTCCTTTCAATAACAAAATTGATGTAAAAGAAAATGTAAATTAGATAGGAAAGGAAGTAATGGGAAGGAAAAGGAAAGAACATACAAAATGTTAAACATATTAAAAAAAAAACTTATCAATCATACATCATAAGATGTAACAATATCATGGATCTGAAATGTAACAAGTCATATGCATTGAATAGTAACTGGTGTAAATTGCACCTGAAATGCAATAAGTAACATGCAGTGAATAATAACTGGTGTAAATTGCATGACAGGGAAACTTTTTACATGGTGAAAAAATACATTACAGTAATACTTTCCACATGGTATATTGCAATAGGAACTTTTTATATGGGTCAAAGCCTTGTAAAAGAAACAACATATGGGTAATGATATGTAGAGAGAAGAGACGAATTATAAGGATGGGAAAAAAAAGTAAAAAAAGAATTTTATTTGAAAAACTAAAAGTAAGGTGGAGAAACAAAACATAGGAAAAACAAAGGCAAACACAAGAAAAAAATAGGAGCACCACTGCCTACCTTTCTCATGGCCACGAGAAGAATCGCCTTAAGTCATCATCGACAATAATAGCACCATCATCAGAGGGGGGAAAACCATCTAGAACAAAAATAGAAAGTAGCACAAACAGAGAGAAGGAAGAAGAGCATAAATATAAAAAAAATAGAGGCAACCACATAAAAAAAACAGGGGCACCATTGCTTACCTTATTCATCGCCACCACAATAACTATTTTGAGACTGTCGACAATAAAAGCACCACCATCAAAGGGGAGAAAACTATCTGAAATAGAAATAGAAATAGAAAGTAGCAGAGTCTGAAATAGAAATAGAAATAGAAATAGAAAGTAGCAGAGATAGAAAGAAGGAAAAAAAGTAGAAACGGAGGAAAAATAAAAAAGGATTGTCGTCCATCAGCCAAGCAGCTATCTTAGTTCACCATCGGCTTTCATGTTGCTATCGCCAGCCAGACATTGTTGTTGCGCAGGGTAGCCTACTCTTCTCCTTTTCCTTCCTTTTCTCCTGCTATATTTGCCCCTCTCCACTGTTCATGGGCCAAACATTTTGGACAGAGTCCAACCTAATAAAAAAAACAAATTGAAATTTTTTTCCTAAAAAGTACTTTCCAATTTTTTTTTTTCTAATCTTTTTTATAGTGTCAAGACATAGACTATAATATTTGTATGGTGTAAAATTACATGATAAAATATAACATCAGATATTATGTTTTATTAATAAAAACTAGTGTTTAACATTATTCATTTGTTTATTTATTTAGCATTAAACTTATGAAAGATCGTTTTTTAATACAATATTCAATGAAGATCTTGATAAGTGATTGTGCATCAAAAGTGTCATTAAGTCTCTCATTTTATATATGTATTTATTGTTTTTATTTGGTTTTTTTTATAATAATTGATGTGCTTTTTAGTAATGAAGTTTGTTTTAATGTTTTGATAGGTTTTTGGAGCTTAAATGAATTAATTCAGAAAATTCAACGTCGGAATTCAGAACAAAGAATTGAAGAGACATTTAGTTGAAGATTGAAGCAAATCTTGGTTCAAACAAGTGCTCCAAATTTGTCCCAAAAATCAATTCTATTCCAATTCTAGAAAAGAATATCATATGATTTATTTCAAGCCCAAACTTGCCTTATGTTGTGTGCAAACTTCAACCATTAAACACTCAAGGTTTCAATGTCAATCTTAGCCCAAATAATAAGTACATTTGTATACTTATTTGATGCTCAAATTCAGCCCAAAAATCAGCCCCAAATCAGCCCTAAATCAACCCCAAATCAACCCAAACACAATCCATGATCTTACATGTCCACACAACAAATAACAATTGATTTATTTTGGGTAATCCATTGATCCAAGAAGGCAAGCACATGGATGGAAAGCTGGAGGGGATATTTTAACATTATTTTGGGTCAAAAAGAAGAAGGAGACACCTCATAAATGAGGAAGAAAAACGTGCACCAAAGTAGTTGTAAAGCTGTCTTGATTTGATTTTTCAGAACACCTTTCGGTGTTTTGCCCATAACTTTTGACTCAGGTGTCCAAATGAGCTGTTCTTTAATGATCTGGAAAGGTGACAGAATTGCCTATAAATATGTCTCTAATAGACTTCTCCAAAAAAAGCTTCTAAGAGGGTCGAATTGCTGTCCAAAGTTAGAGTCAGATTTGTGTCCGAATTTTTTCTGAAATTGTATTGTGTTCTTCTTTATAGATTTCGGTTCTTTAGTTTGTAAAACTTATTTTTTCAGTTGGATTCAAGTTCTTTCATGTTTATTGAAGTGTTCTTATATATAATCATGGTTGGCTAAACTCTTTCTTGGATCCAAATCAAGGATAATGGTGATTGAGGTGAGTTCTTTAGGATATGAATGAATCTTAATGTTTATCTTCTTATTTTCTTCATGAATGATTTATTATTGTAAAGAAATTTTAGAAATCATTTAGGTAATGTTATAATCTTGAATTTTTATGCACAAGAAGATTTTAGGCATCGTGGACAACCAAGAAATCAGTAAGAGGTTTTTAATTATGCACATTCATCTCTATATAATGTAATAGAATGTTCTTTTGGAATATGGAAACAACGGTGGAGGATTTTATAAAACATGCATACTTATCCATACAAATCACAAGTTGAAATTGTAGTAACATCAATAGCACTACATCAACAACATTAGAAGAGATTGCATGGTAACGTAATATTTGTAAAATTTAATTGTAATTCTAATTTTATTCCTGATAAAATTTTATCTAATATTGTTGCATGCTCAGAAAGTCATGAAAATTATAGTTCTAGGATGGATTTTGTACTTGATGAATTTATAGATAGTTTAATAAAATAATAAAAAATATTTTATATAAAATATTATTTATTTTATATAGTAATAACAATAATTAAATGTATAATAGTTCAATTCTAAACCATCATTATATATATATATATATATATATATATATATCTTTTTTAATTATTTTGTAATCTTAATTTCAAAATCTTAACTGTTTGGAATTATAATAGCAGTAACAGTTTAAAGTGTTTTTTTTGTTTAAAAATATATCAAAGTAATATTTTATTATTTTTTTAAAAATTATTTTTAAAATTAGTATATAAAAATATCTCAAAATATAAAAAAAATTATTTTTAAGAAAAAAAAATTTCAAATTCTTTTGAAACATGATGTAAACATTGCCAAACATATTAAATTATTTTTTATTAAATTTTAATTTTAATTATATTTTTAATAAATCATATATAAAATCAAACCAATCTCAACTAAAAATAATTTTTTAAAAAACAATTTTTTTAAATCCTCAGTCAAGAACTACCACAATAGTTGAAGACGGTGATGGTGATCACAAGAGTCCCACCACAATCACAACGCAACAACGGTCAAATAGCAGCTCTAACTCGGAGGCTAAATTGTTCAGCACCAGTAATTCACAATATTTTTTAATTTCCCTTGGCAGCATTCTGGTTGAAAGGTTTCCGATACACGAGCATGACTTCTGTTGCAGGGAATGACTTCTGTTCATAAACAAAGGATGAGAAGCCGCTTTGAAGTCTTTGAGTTTCCTGTTCGTAATGGCATTTTATGAAATAAAAAAATCCAAGTAGAAACCACTCGAAGGCAGCAACACCAGGTTGGTTGTTCCAAAAAAAGTGCATTTGAGTAGACTATTTGTGACTTGGGAATTTCAGCAAATAAGGCCTGGAATAATCTGGCTCATGTAATACCTCCTGTAACTTTCAGTTCTTTCCTCGATCTAGTTCAGATAATTATAGCTTAGCAATGAATGCATTTAGATTTTAGGCAACAAACGTTCTTGTAAAAAGGAAACACAAAACAATTGAATAATTTATGGATTAACAAGAATTCTTACAATAATGGTTTGAATGCAATGCCACATCCAAGAAATAAGCAAATGCACTTCTTGGACATGTCGCTGACATATAAAACAGCATGTTTGTGGATTGATCATCACAAAGCAGGTGCATGAAGGCAACAGAATATCAAGAAAATCCAACCTCAGCAGCAGAAATGAGACTCTAAAACATGTCACAAAATTGAGGAGGAATTGAAAGCAGAGGGCTGCAAGCACAAATGTATCTTATCATATAAAAAGAAGGTCGCTTCCCCCTCCTATTTACCAACAACCCGGAGAGTTATCTCACAGGATCAACCATTCTACTACAATCATGCTTCTTGCGACGACATCTGTGATGGGTTTTTGAATCAAATGTGTTCTCTCCAACCATTTCCATCTTAGAATCTGCATCGGGAGGAGCAAGGAAAGGTTCAATTACAGTCTCTTAACAAAAGAAAAGTGAGTACAAAAAGCTGTGAGTGTGTACCTTGAAAATGGTGTCCCCAAAACAACAACCTGGCATCATCCTCTTCCTCATCAACATCATCTCCGTAACCAAACTCAGCATCCCCTCTATACCCAGGCTCACTCCCATATCCAGACTCACTATCCAAATTCCCAAAAACATTACCCACTCCCAACAAATTCTCTTTCTCCTCCCTCTCTTTTATCGAATTCTTTGCTTGACTGACATCCGACGCCCAATTCGCGTCCCCATTCACAAACAGCTCCCCACTCGAGTCCGTCCCCACCGCCAAATGGAAATCCGAGCAAGTCCCATGAGCCGCAGACGCCGCGCCAACCGAGCAGCACCGCCGGGTCCCACTTCTATCGGAGCTCCGGCCGGACACAGAACGGGATCCTCTCCGCCGCTTCTTGCGCTGGATAAGGCGTAAGGTGCCTCGCTTGTAGGGTCTGCTGGTAACAGCGGGGACGGGTTTATTGCTGGTGTTGTTATGGTCATCTTCAAGGAGAGTGAGCCGGGAAAGGTCGATGGAATCGACGTTGGAAGGGAAAGAAGTGGAGCGATCGGAAAGGCAAGGGCGTTTAGTGAGAGTGGCGGAAGAGGCGTGGGGTTTGTAGCTGGTGGTGGGATCGTAATCGAGAAAAGGTCTCCATGAATGGAGCTGGAGAGTGCATGAATCTATGGATTGCCGAGAATTGTGAGACATTGTTGATTTTTTTTTTTTATCGATTTATTTTTTTGGCGATTTATGAGGGTTTGATTTGAGGTAGAGATTTTACAGTGAGTATTTATTACACAAAAAGTAATATCTGTACATTGAATAATTAATTGTCTAGCCGCTCTTAGGAGGACGAGGAGGAGTGTAAATTAATGGAAAGTCAGAGAGAGAGAGAGAGAGACCCCACAGTCGAGCAATTATCACCTCACTTCACTTGCCTTCAGTTTTTTTTATTGACTAACTTTAAAATTATTGTGTGTTTTCATGTGTTAAAAATAGTTTTTAAAATTAATTTTTGTTTTAGTATTTTAATTTATTTTAATATATTAATATTAAAAATGATTTTATTTAATAATTATTATTATAATATATTTTTAAATAAAAAATTATTTTAAAAAGTAATCATTTGATGGTCTTAATTACTTTTATTTTAGGTAAATTTTGTGAAGAATTTTAGTTTTATTATTTTTATTTATTTAATAAAAATTATATATAAAATTATATAAATTTTAAATTTAAATAATTTTTATTTGAAAAAGTATATTAAATAATAATATAAATTTTATTTTATAATTTAAATTTTTAGATTAAATGGCTTAGTTGACAATTTACACTGTCTTGTAACTTCTTCTTTTTTTTCCTATCCTTCTGTGGATCACAAATTTCGCAGGAGCAGGACTTCGGTCCTCTGTTGAACAAGCTGAGGAAATTAGACTGCAGGGGTTTTACTACAATGATAGACTAATTCATATATCATACCATCCCTCGACAATTCCCATATAAAAAATATCAGGAAGCAAGAGGTTTAACCAGCTAATCAATAGTTTAAAATCATAAATTTACAAATTACGAATGCAAACCCTGAAAACCCTCTACATGGTTCCCATTGACATCGTGCAGATGTTCTTGAAGTCCGGCAGCATCGTTGCCAAACTGAATGTCAGTAGGTGGTTGCAGTGTAAATACATATGAGACGGGCTTTGATGCCATCATTGGCTTTCCAGTAGTGTGACTGTTTTTGACATCTGACCAAAGCCTTCTTCATCGAATGGAAAAGACTCTCCGAGGAAAAAGAAGCCGTCTCTCCCCAACTTCTCTACCTGAAATAACAACCAAACACATTCAGACTGTAAGCTGCACCGCCAGAATCATAGCTGGTTTTAGCCATACATGGCTGCAATACAGTGGTAGCTTTCATTTCGTCAATCTTTTAAAGGTGTTTCAAGCGCTCAAGGCGGTGCTTATCCTTCGGAAGAAGGCAGAATGTTTAAAATCAGATACAAAATATGTACTGTAAAGAGCCTTCTTCAAAAGGTGTGAGCTGGTGACCAATTTTGCCTTAAATATACGTAGCCAGAACTGATATGCACCCAAGTTTCCAATTTTTATCATCTCCTTTTGACCAATTTGGACATTATAGTTGCAGTCTCCAAAGTAGTGTCGGTAAACGTAATCTGTACGTGCAGGGTAGGCAAATCTACAAAGTGTCAAGTACATACAGTGTGCAGTCTGGCCTTCTTGACGAATTAAGATTTTGATCATGGCATACATTCAACACCAGCAAAATGGTTCACTTTGTTGCATCACGCATATGTGCAAGTAAACAGAAGAAAAACCTACAAAGGAAGTTATCTGTTGAATGCTGTGAAATAACAGATCTAATTTGAGTTGAATTCAAATTTTAAGCACCAGTTCATTTCAGTGTAAGGAAAAGTAATTCCAGCATAAGGAAGAAAATGCATTATTTCCAATTCATGCATCCATGCAAGATAAGTGGTTGCTTGCGGATTGAAAAGGATATTCCGCCTCGACCATTAATGGTGAAATTCACATCAATCTCATGATGATAATTTTTTTTATTAATTTAAAAGAAAAATAATTTTTTTTTTAAAAAAAGAAGAATAGGTATTATTGCATCTGGTGAGAGAGTAAATTTATTTAGCGAGGCCTATTTTGATAGTTTTGCATACTTAATTTTTTAATAAAAAAATAACGTATTATTTTATTTATCTAGATTCTAATAGCTAGAAAATTAAATTTTAAATATTTTTTTAAAAAAACTTGTTTTTTAATCTATTTTTTATACTAAAACCATCTAAAAAATATCATAAAAATTATAATAAATTTATTTATAACTTTAAAAAATCTAAAAAATCATCTTATAAATAAAAAATTAACCTAAATTCAAGAATTAATCTGAACTCATATTTATTTTTTAGGAACTTTAAAGGTATATAAATTTTAATATGAAATTTTTTCATTAAATAAAATTATTTGATATAAATATAATTTGTTTTGATTGCTTAAATGATATTTTTTTATTGCCAGAATTTAATGTCCTCTCTCTTCTCTCTTAACTAGGAGTTTAAAAATAATAAAAATAAATTTTTATATCAAAAATAAATTAAAAAATATATTAAGAAACTGATATTATATAATTTATGTAATTTTTAAAATTTAAAAACTAAAATATATCTTTTTCAAAATTTATATCATGCTATTCTTAAAGCTCTTTTTATTTTTATTTTTTTAATTTTATATTTTTATAAATATTAAAATTAATTAGTTTTAATTGAGATTATATTATCGAAAACAAATTTTGAGGAAACAATTAAAAAATATAAAATTTTGTACGGATGAACAGTGAACTACTTAATCGAGAAGAGTGAGGCAGAGCTCAGGAAGAAATGGCATCAGGGTGGGGAATCACAGGAAACAAAGGCAGATGCTACGATTTCTGGATTGATTTCAGCGAGTGTATGTCTCAATGCAGAGAGCCTAAGGACTGCGCTTTCCTCCGTGAAGATTACCTCGAGTGCCTCCACCACTCTAAAGAGGTCTCTCTCTCTCTTTTATTTCTCTATTGAATCCGTTGAATTATGTTCTGTATGTAAATTACATTCATTTGAGACCTGCTCATTGTTGGGCTTTTGTCAAAATCTTAATTCATTTGTGGGTTTTCAAAATTTCCTTCTGCTTCTTGCTGTATGAGGATTTATAAGCTCTCATCATTTTACTGTGATTTTTTTCTCGGAATGCTATATTTTTTCTTGATTACTTTTTGATATGCTCTCTTAGAGCTTACTGGATCATGTGTTTTTGGTTCAATTTGAAAACCCTAGTTTCATTGAGTCAAAGGAAACAATCTGATTGATAATGCATGTGATATTTTCTTTTTATTTTAGACTTCCCCCATAACCATGCATGCTACACTTTGGCAACATCTTTGCCTTCTGGTCACTCTTTTCTATTTTTTTTCCTTTTTTTCTTTCAATTTCATATTTTCATAAGTCAAATATTGTTTAGGCCACTCTTTTTATTGAGTGACTAATCTCCTTCTACAATTGTTTAGGCCACTCTTCTTTTTCTTTTTAATCCGGTTTGGTATTTTTACTGTTTTGGTAGGATCTATACTTCTCCATATTCAAATATTTATGCCTTGTGGTCCAAAAATTAGTTTCATGTTTATCTATGTGATGGTCCCATGAAGGGAGGCACTGATTTATAAGATTTCTCTTCTTAGTTTCTAACTTTACTAGCATTAGCAACTAGACTTGTCTAATGGTATCTTGTAATTTGTGTTCAAGCCTTGGCGTGTTAAAGTGCATTCTCCTTTGGTACACCCTTGTTGCCACACTGTTTTTCCAATTAGTTGATTACTATTTGTGTTGACTGCTGGTGCATAGAGGCACGTTGAATATTTGGTCCTCTAGTTGCCTTACTAGTAAATGATCTAATCAGTTTCAGTTAATCAAACTGGCAAGCTTGTTGAGGAAGCATTTCCTCCATTGGAGCTCCTTTGTTAGATGAAAGGCTTGCTTTACTAGCCACTAAAATCCGCTTAGTTTCATTTTCGTTTCTTGGATTTGTCACTTTGACTAAAACCATCATGAGGCTAAAACTCGCTCTATTTATTGACAATGATAGAAATTATGATTAGCAGATCGTGAAAAAGAAAAAAAAGCAAGGTGAAGTGAGGTTTAGGAAGGATCTGTAAATCACATTAGTCAACTGCGGAATCAGGCCATTTGCTTAATACAACTCTTTCGAAAATCGATTCTGACTCCATACTCTTCTCACTCATCTCCGCCGAAGCAGGAGGAAGGGACAGTTTGATTGAGTCCGAACTGCCTAATGATTCTGTCGCCCAAAAAAACTTCCAAACTCTTGGCTTGACAAAAGCCCCTCTCTGCAATGGAAACAAGGGCAGGGGTTGGACCTGAGGGCTGGCCTAGTAACCTTGACGAATGAATGGGCAAATATAGTCTTACGATTAGCCTGTAACTCTACGTGGGATGGATTTACCATTGTCCAAGGCAGGGAAGAAAGAAACAAGCCAAGCTAAGGGAGAATGCCAGAGTATTTCTTATGGGTGCTAAATGGTTTAATTTGTCTGGGAATTATGTAGAAAAAATATTTCCCGTCAACTCTTGGCATATCTCAAAAATATATTCTAGTAGGTATTGAGCTATTCCAGAAGGATGCTGCTTCTTAGTTGGCATTTTAGGTGAGATTGGCAGTGTTGCTTGTATGAAATGCTACTTGCAAAATAGAGTAGCATCCGTTGTTTTCTTGGTTGTCAGGTGTTTAGAATAAAATAGGAGAGTTTGGTTATTTAACATGGGTTACTTATGTAGGTGCACATCGTGAACATTTCGACAGTTATGAGTAGCTATATGCCTCCATCAACCAACAATCCACAAATTATTGAAGACATGAAACTTTGTATGTGTTTGGTAGTGTAAGCCATCACAACTACAGTAAGAGGTACCTATTCTTTACTCCAACTGGTGGCATCAATGCACTATTACTTTGGTGGCTTAAAAGCCATCACACCACCGAATGCGCACTTAGAAGACAGAACTCACAACATTTCTGGAATTGCCGTATCTTTGTTTTTACTTCTAGGAATAGCAACTTAAGAACAGGGGTGAGGTCGTGAGCTCCTTGGGCTGGGCCTTAGACTTGCTTGTTATTTAGTTTATTTTCATTAAGTGTATTCTTTGGACGCTGTTTTATTTCTAATTTATACCACTCCATCTGCAAGTGCTTTATGTCACAAATTGAACATGGAGAGACCATTACTTGTACAAAAAAAGTTTGATAATTGAATAAAATATCATTTGAAACTAATGCTTTACATGGCATGCTCATGAGAATTTTTACTGAAAACATTAGGGCAATAGCTCCTTGTTTTCATATAACCTTTTCCTTTTGGAACACTAGATTTCTATAATGAACAGCAAACCTCAGTGAACATTTTTTTTATTGTTTTCACAATAACAGGAGTTTCAGCTGACAAGCAAATCCCAACAAGCATATTCCGTACATTTATCTCTCAGAACAGAGTTTTATCGGGCACATCATTGGTGGTCATACTTCGGTATCTCTTGACTTTAAATTAACTTCAGGCTTAAGTTGATCTCATCTTGCTTAGGCTTTCAACTAGCTATGTCCGATAGTTTTTCCCCTGATTTGAGCAAAAGCAAAACTATAACAAAGTTCACAGGATTTTCAGATTTGCCTCATCTGTCATTGCAATACCAGGCCATCCAAGTTGATGCTATTTGGACCTTATAAGAATGAATTTTTTTTAACCTCAATTGCATGACTTTATATTGTTTATTGACAGATGTGTGACTTCTGAAATCTGTTCGTCTTACTTATCTAAGTTAGGATTCATGCTTGGTATCAGTCAGGTATTTGTGGACCAATAATAAATTGCACAACCAGTGAAGGTGAAAAATAACTAGTGTTTAAGATGCAGTATTAGCACATCCCAGAATTCATATGAAAGAAGGCTTTGGAATAACTTCAAAGCTGGAAATAAGTATGCTGTAGTAAAAAAAATCATTTTTATCAATGAACTGGGTGGAAAATGATTGGATCTTTGTACGCAATGTCTTGAATTGTGCTGAAGGATTGTGATTTTAAAAAACCCATATGGTTGCTATTTGTTTTCTCCTTTTGAGAATCCTTAAGTAGCAATTTTTAGTGACTTCTTTCTGAATGCCTCTATAAATTGTAGAATGGTCTTGTAGTTGGTGTTCAGTCTAACAGTCACATGGGACTGGTTTTAATGGCCTTGTTTTATTCTCTATGCTCATGTTATGTTGTGTCTCAGCCTCTATCCTTTGATTCATGTCTTATGGATGCTGTCACGCGGGTCTTATTTTTGCTGCTCCTGTTGACTCCAACATGGTTGATTTGAATTTCATTGCAGTTTCAAAGAAGAAATTGAATTTACAAGGAGGAGCAGCGCAAATTAAGAACAGCTTCAAAGAAAGCAGATGGTGAAGATTGTCTTATTCTCTATGCTCATGTTATGTTGTGTCTCAGCCTCTATCCTTTGATTCATGTCTTATGGATGCTGTCACGCGGGTCTTATTTTTGCTGCTCCTGTTGACTCCAACATGGTTGATTTGAATTTCATTGCAGTTTCAAAGAAGAAATTGAATTTACAAGGAGGAGCAGCGCAAATTAAGAACAGCTTCAAAGAAAGCAGATGGTGAAGATGCAAAGATAGCCATCATGCATAGCCATAATTGATCATCTTTCGGAATGCAAGCAATGAAGTTGCTGTGCGGATGTTGTTTTTTTTTTTGTGTCATCTGCTACTTAAATATTGTTTAAAGTGACTTTTCTTTTTATCCCTGAATGGGGATGCTGACTTGAACACTTTTTGGTTGTGCAATAAGTCGAAAATCGGTGCTTTGTGACATTGATCTGCTTGCATAGGGAACGAATCTGGCATCTCTGTTAAGGAGCATTTCCATCTGCTTGCATGCACGTGTATACCAGCAGAATTTAGAACTTCATTTGTGATCTCTTATTTTCATTTTGTCAGGCCTTGACATTGTTTCTACAGCGGAGATTTTTCATTTCCTCCTGACAGATTTGTTCGTTACCTCTGGTACTTCACAGAAGAAAAACATGGCAGCTTGAGAATCTGTTTGATGAATATTAATGAATAATGTTTCAAGGGGGCTAAAATTTGCGCTATGAACACCTGGAACCTGGAAAAACTTTTCAGAGGAACCAGTCTCTCTTCTTGGCCTTCCTATCTCCGTAGGGTAAAAATATGATTTTGGTGGCCAGTGGCAATCTAATCCTGGAATGTTTTGGTGGTGATATTGAATTGTTTTTTTTAAAAAAAACCTTTTTTAATTAAAATTGATTTTTCTATTAATATATCTCGCAAGATTTTTAACTTAAATTATTGTTTCCATGATTATTACAACAAATTAATAAAAAATATTAAGATAATATCTTAGAGTGAAAATTAAAAAAATCATAAATATAATAACAAGATAATATCTTAGAGTGAAAATTTAAAAAATCATAAATATAATAAAATTATGTTGAAGATAAAAAAACAAACTAAATAGAATTTTCATAAATAATTTATTATTAGTGTTCATGTAATAATAACTGAAAAAATAATAAAATTCAAATAAAAATTTGTAAGTACATTTAATAACTTTATCAAAATTAAAAAATAAATAGATCTAATAAATTTTTTCAAAGTATCAAAAAACAATATAGAAAAACACCAGGCCTAGCACACCGGTAGAAGGGGAGGCACGCCTGCTTAACCTTATTTATTTTGAAAGAAGCACAAGTACTGTCAGCAAACGCTGATTTAATTTTCAACATTTTTTCGGCATTCAATTTTCCCATGTGCAAAAATAATAATAGAAAAGGAAATATAGGATTGTAAATCAAATGATTATTGAATTTATTCAAACTTGAGGGACCACAATGAAATCTACCAGGGATTACATGCTGAGCAAACTCGACCTTTTGCTTCTGTTTACACGTTAAAAAACTTAAATTAGATAGGTCCTTTCAATTCGTTCTTCTTCTTCTTCTTCTTTTTTATTTTTTTCTTTAAAAGCCAACTCGTTTTTGAAAAAAGAAAATAAAAAAAGAAGAAGAGGCAAACTGGGTTTTAGCGTGGGTTTAAGGATTTTTGGCTCTCTGCCGCCATCAGCGCCTGTCTCGCCCCTCTTTCTCCCTTGAAGTCCTCCTTCCTAAGTCTCTCACTCTCTCACTGTCCGTAGAAATCCAAGCAGTAGAGCTATAAGATCAATTTCAACTGGTTAATCTCTCTCTTCTTCTTAACCTTTCTTCATCAGTTACTTTTGTTCAGGCTAATATTTGCTGTTTGGGGTTTGGAACTTGTGTAAGAAAGGCAAGCTTATGTTAGGAGTAGAAAATACATGTTGCCTATTACTCCATCGAATTTCAATTTTACTGATTTTGAAGTCAAATTAGCCAAAATTCATATAGCTCCTTAATCTGTCTTATTCAATTTGAATTATGGCTTTTTTTTAAAAAAAACCCTAGGGTTTGTTTCTATAAGCGTTCTATTATCTTTTTTATAATTATTCTTACCCTATTATCCTTTCATTCAAGGTGCTGTAGCTTCCTTAGGAAGATTTGAAGCTTTGATTGAAATTCAGATTGTCAGTGTCTGATAAAGCAATGGCTCGTATACGAAATGTAAGTTAATGATACCGAGGAATTCAAAACTGAATCGAGTTTCAATTTTCTTTTTTGGGTGCTCATGTCTTCTTTTGCCTAATGGGTCCATGGTTATTATTTTTGTTGTTGGAATTAATATAGAAAAAGAGGAAGATGTTTGTGAAGCCAATAGTGAAAAAGAAGCAGGCCAATGTCGATCATATCACTGGTGATAAGATACCTAAGAGCTTTGTTTTTGCGAGAGGGAAGTTGCCTGGCTCTCTCAGGCAGCTTCAGATGGACTTGAGGAAGTTGATGCTTCCCTACACTGCTCTCAAGCTTAAGGTGGAAGTTTTTTTTTTCCTCCCCTCCAAGCTCCTTTTCTATGTACATCAATTGTTTGTATTGAGAAATAAGTGCCGAATTGGTCTCTCCTAGCAGCTTCTCTTTTACTTTTTTTTTCCGTATATGAGAGCGTTTAATTCTCACGTGGTTTTATTTTAATTGTTGAATACACTGATTTGTTTCTAACATTTTGCATTTTGGTTTCAGGAGAAGAAACGGAATAGTCTCAAAGACTTCTTGAATGTTGCTGGGCCTATGGGTGTTTCTCATTTCCTTATATTGTCAAAAACTGAAACTGCACCATATCTGAGGGTTGCAAGGACCCCACAAGGCCCAACTCTTACGTTTAAGATACATGAGTATTCACTGGCAGCTGATGTTGCTCAATCTCAATTGCGCCCTAGATGTCCGCAGGATCTTTTCAAAAATGCCCCTTTGGTAATTTTTCTCTCTCCAGACACATGCAAGCAGTCATTCATTTCACTTTTGAAACTGATTGTTTATTTTGATTCATGTCTTGTTTACTGGATATGACCAGCATTTTGCAACGCTGGTAGCCAGGTGTGTTGACTTTCAATCAAGCCTTAAGAATTGCGTCCTAGAGTGTGGGGTTTTCTGGGCACTGTTATCTGTTGACAGATGTATACTACATGAATCCTAATGAAAATTGAAGGCCATCTGCTTGATTTTTCTTCTAGACTCTATATGCTGTTCTATTCTTCATTTCTATAAAAATATTACTGGTTTTGAATCTTAACTAAATGAGATACTGTTAAGATTTCAATGCAGCACATCTCATTGTTGCAACTCTATTATTGAGGCTGCAGCCCCCCTGTGTCCACTTTTTCACACTTGAGTCTAAAACATATTATGGACTTGTTTTAAATGGGTGATTGAATTATCAATTTGCACGTCTTTGACCTGTCCCTTGAAATATTGATTTATGTCGTTTTGACAGATTGTTCTTTCTGGTTTCGGGTCTGGAGAACAACATTTAAAACTCACAACTGTAATGTTTCAGAATATCTTTCCAGCAATTGATATTAATACTGTAAGTGCTTAAGCAATTCTATTTAAATTTTAGAATCAGCCAAGACTGTTTCCCCTCCTAATACACTCTAGTGGGATGTTTCAGGTCAAACTTTCTTCTTGCCAGAGAATTGTGTTACTTAATTACAATAAAGACACAAAACTTATTGATTTTCGGCATTATTCCATCAGACTCCAGCCTGTAGGTGTCTCCCGTAGACTCAGAAAGTTTGTGCAGAACCGCCAGGTTCCTGATCTTAGAAATCTCCAAGATGTGAGCGACTTTGTCACAAAGTAAGAATGTTTACTTATTTATGTTTTTATTTTTGACATCAAACATGATAAGTTAACATGTGAAAAATAAGAGTTTGTTCCATTAATTTGTCATGTTTTGAATATGCAAAGCAAATTTATTCGTTGCTATGATTGTGTGTGGACTTTCATAGTTAGGCTACAGTAATTACATTTTATTTCGTTCATCAATTTCAGTATTCCGTGTGGCTTTCTGGTTTCCAATTCTAGGTCAATTATGATATTTATAGAGAACTTACTTGGAGTCGGCATTTGAATCTGCTAAGAAAGTGTGTTCGCTAAATAATGAAGACAATGTGCATTATAGGATAGCTAGTTACGTGTTTCCTTTCTTTAGTAGTAGTTCATGTTATCATTGCTAGCATGTCTTAAATGGAAGCACAAGGATTTCAAAAGTTATGACATCCTATTAGAAATTACAGAAGAGGATAAAGAAAAGAATTAATGGTTTGGTTATATACTGACCAAACCTTTTGTGGTTGAATTAAGTTGATGGAACATGTCAAGTTATTCCACCACTGTAAGACTGGTTTTGAGGGAAAAACATTCTTATGGCATTAGGCTTTATTTGTGCTAAATAATGACCCAGCCTACCCCAGTCTAAGCTTATCCATGCCATAAAATCATCATCAAATTGAATAAAAAGAGAAACAAGCATGGAAAATAGGATATGAAACTCAGTTTTATAATATGTTATAGTTATTATTAGCTGTGGTCTTTTCATTTTGTTTCATTTTTGTGTGATCTGTGAAGGGCTGGTTATGGATCAGAAAGTGAAGGAGATGATGAAGCGGCTACAGTAACTTTGGCTAATGATCTTGGTAGAGTTAATAAAGCTTCTACAAAAAGCGCTGTGAAGGTCCAGGAGATTGGACCCAGAATGGCTCTTCAACTTGTTAAGATTGAGGAAGGATTATGTTCTGGTGATGTCATCTTCAGTGAATATGGTATGTTTATTGTATAGATTGCGACCTTGATTTTCTTCATGGAATATGCATGATCCAAACAGTGTGGTACAGCCTGTTCGGCAATGCGGTTCAAACCGCATTCCCCTGAAAATTGATTTTTTTATTTTAAAATTAATTTTTTATGTTTTTAGATTGTTTTGAAATATTAATATTAAAAATAATTTTTAAAAAATTTAAAAACATTATTTTGATGCAATTCTAAGTAAAAAGTATTTTGAACTGGAATCACTACTATATTCTCAAACATACCCCCTTTGTCCTCTGTTCTCTCTGTCTTGAAAATTTTGCCATTCTTTGCACCAGTCATCCCGTTTTGAAAACACTGGATTATTAGATTCACATCTTAATGTTCATTTATACAGGAACTGCAAGTGAGCAAAGGCAGGAAACGAATCAGAACAAT